TAACTAAAAAATGTTTTTTATTACCAAAAAACAAACCTTGGGTCAGGTATATGCATATCTTTTGTATTAAATTATAAAAAAAAAATATAAATAGAAGTGGTAGGTTTTGATCGTTATTTCTGTTTAAAAGCTATTGAAGTCCTCTTTCATTTGGTACCAAATTTGTTTAATTTGGATAAGCGGTTTGTTTACTATCCGGGAAGACTTGTATTTCGAACTTAAAATATATCTGGCCAAGTTTAACTGTTGGAAAAAAATAACTGCTTTTTAAGGTCCCTGTTTTTAAGCAAAAAACAAAACCGACTTCAACTCTCATATAAAAATTTAGGATTACCATTAATTATTTCATGATCCAATGATCGGATCTAAACCAGAGTAGTATGGGACCACCTCTGAGACAGTACCTTTCCGATGAAAAAAGAATTATCGAAATCGGTTGACGTGGTCCAAAGGTCCGCGGTAACATACATACAAAAAATAATAATATTCCGACGACATCAGTTCTCCTTTTTTGGAAGTCGCTTAAAAACAACGCGATTTTCTAGCGTCTTAAAATTTGCACTTTAACCTACTAAAATTTAATGGGCCACAAAAGTGCATACCTTAAATTTTTCTAAAAACTCTGAAATTTGAAAATTTCGGGGGATCTAGGTAAAATTTGTTGAATTTTTTAAATTTTGTACAAAGTTTGAAATGTGGATTTATATGGTGCTTATTATATAATGCGCTAAACTTTTATAAACAATTTTAAACATCGAATATACAAAAGAAATATAGGTAAAACTGATCAAAATAAAAATTTTTATTATTTCCTCCACCACTGTATGTATATATGTACATATCGTCGCCCGGGTAAAAGATTGTCGTAAGCGTAATTTTGACGATTTTTAGTTCTAGATGCAGTCAAATATTTTGAAATAAGGTCTTTCGATTGGTGTTATCAGTTTTCAGATATCTCCTTTAGTTTCCGAGATATTGACTACAATTTTTTCTATAATTCAGTAAAAATTTAGTTAGTGATGCAGCCATATTAAACTAATCAATATCTTAAAAATTACGTTCTCCATTTTTGGATATCTTTTTAAGTTTCCAAGATATTGAGTAAAAAGTGTCGTTAATTTAGTAGAAATTTTGATCACATTTTGTCGTATTTCATACAAAGTGGCTGCCAAATTGTGGACAAATGACGCTTACGACAAAATTTTACAAAAGAAAATCCTTCATAAACTCAAAGCTAATTAACATTAAACATTAAAAATTAAATAATTTAAGAATTTTGTGAACTAGTAACATTTTCAGAGACTTTGGAGAATATCTGTCTTCGCGTTTTTGAGAAATTGCCTTCCAAACTTCAATCGCGATTTCCCACAACCTGCCGAAATCAACATACGTCAATCTTTTACCCAGGCGACGATATGTAATTTATTATCTTGGTATATTATGTATGTGTAGGTTCATGCGTACGATTTACTTAAAGAACTATATCTAACCCCGTGTCAATTGATGGTGCTGTTTGGTTTATCTGATTGCACAATGTGCAATGCACATGCTGATTGTTTGCGGCTTGGCAATAATAAGTGAAAATTCTTGATAAGTATACAAAGTGCTGTTAACTTAACTAAATAGTATACATATTCTATAGTATTATTTAAGGTTCTCTTCCCGCCAAAAAGCCAGTCACTTCAACTTCACATTTCAAAGCCAAGTTGAGAAGAGAGAAAATTCGAAAATGATTTATATTGAGTTCTAAACTTTTTAGTTACGCTAATATTATATACTGCACCCGCCCAGCTAGCACTTTTGCCAGACAATTTCTGACAATTCGGAATAAAAAGTTGACTATTTAGACAAGTCTTACAGGTTTCGTACAGATTTCTGGGCAAATCGTTTGTAAAATTTTATTTATTTCCTTATCCGATATGTCTGGTGGAATTATGTCCGATTTCGGGCATACACGTCTGATAATTCTTATTTTCCATGATTATTTGTTCAGACATCTGGTAGATATCCGTCAGAATCGTCCGTAATTAAGTCAGAATTTCCCACGTCGTGTCGGTTAGACTTCCTGTCAACCTCTCCATACGCTTCTCTGACCGATATCGGCCAAAATCATACAGATTTCTGACTTTTTTGCCGACAAGTCTAACTTTCTGACAATTTTGCTAGCTGGGCGTCTTGTTTTGTAAATACATATATGTATGTATATTGCGGCATATGTATTTGTAAATGCCCTTTAGGATATGCGAGGATTCCGCCAAGCATGACAAAAACATTCCGCGGAATGAAGGAAACATTCCTCTTTGTTGTTCTTTATAACATACGATGTCATTGGGAAAAAGTATTCCCCTCGCTGATTACAGAAAGTTTAGGGAAACATTCCACAAAGCTACTCAAAAAATTAATGCGGAATGCTTCGACAAAGCTTATGAATGAATATGGATAGCGATAGAACGATATCGGTGCCAAGTACGGAATATCGATAGTTTTTATGAGTACTGAGCAGTAACGTGAACCGGATGAAAAATTTTGTCGGTTCGGTTTAGCGGTTCGAACCGTTTTTGCACTTTTGGATTGGTTCGCCAAAGCGGTTTTTTTAGTCTTTGAACCGGGGTTTCGGTTCGGTTAAACGGTTCGAAAAACAAACAAGTAATAAAGTCTAAGTTCGGGCGGAGCCGAACATTAAATACCCGGCGCAAGTAATAAATATATGATTTTCACCTTTCCGTAAGCCGGGTGTATCAATTTTGAGTAACTTAGCTCCTTAAATTTCGAAATATTGAAGTTTCAAGCATTTCTAAAATTTACCGTTATATGAAAAGCGGCCTCAATTTTGGTCTGATTTCAATAATTTTCAACGTTTTACTTTTATTTGGCAAGCACAATAGCCATACCGAGTTTGGTATAAATTGGTAGACCGGTTACCGAGATACATATGTATGTATATGTGATCATAAGTGGGCGGTGCCACGCCCGTTTTCCAAAATTTTATCATAAACGTATTTCTTTTGTCTTTCTGTCACATGGTAGGTATTACCATGTTTAACAAAAAGAAAAAAAGTGGGTTCATTTATCTATTAAAACTTGGTTGAAACGAACCTTTAAACCTTTATGGAAAGTGGTTCGGTTTTCGATTCGGATCAAACATTTGTGGAAAATTTCGGTTCGGTTAATGGTTCAGTTAATTAATAGAAAAAAGCGGTTGTTCGGTTCAAAACCGGTTCACGTCCCTGGTACTGAGTAATCATCACGAATACCAGAAAGCCTCGGCGTGTTAAAAACCTTTTTAAGTAAATTTTTTTTTAATAACATATTTACAAAATTTCGTTCATTCAATTACATACATTGAAAAATGATTACAAATTACACAATAAACATTGTGGCGAACGTTCGAAAATTATCTTCTCTCAAAAACCAAAAACTCGAGAAATACGACTTCGTTGTGAATTCGAAATCCAGTCCATTCTCGAAAAAAATTTTATGAAGTAGAGAAATTCATTTCTTTCGAGAATAGGGTTCACCGCATTTGTATCTCATTTTCTACATTTGCATTGTAAAAAGATTTATAAATTTACGCGACAAACACATTAAATATTTGCTTTTAAAAACTATAAATAAGCTTTTTAATATAAAAAGCTTCATGCAAATATCAGTACTGGCATCGATTCTTCTTTAAAGTAATGGTATCGATACTTTTCTAAAAATTTCTGTCCCTAAATATGGAAACATTCAAAAGAATTTGTTTCACTTAAAATTTATTCGGTGAGACGGTAAGTTGTGATTGGGTCTTTTGGAGTTTACACGAGAAGCGATAGGGAATGCTTCCACTTTCTATCCAAGAGATAGCTTTTGTTAAAAGCGACAAGGAAACATAGTAAATTTTAAATGTTCTTCGGAGTTTCGCGAGGAATGATAAGGAATGGTTTCATTTTACTTCCAGTGGAACTACTCCTCAGTTTCTTAGAGGGTGTATGCATATTTTTATATGTGTGTATGTATACGATTACTGCGATCAGCAGTCATAGTAATCAGTGTTGCCGCGAATCTTTTTAGTGATAGCCAAATTTCTTTAAAAAAAGGGCTAAAAAAGAGCTAAAAAACGTCGTTGTGGCTAAAAATGGTAGCTAAAAATTTTTACTTACATATACATATATAAGTATACACGCAAACATTTTCAATAAGTAATGGTTTGGAAAAACAATGAACTCTGGAAAAAAGCAAATATTTTAACCAACCAAAAACCTTTTTGTATAAAAGGAGAAATATACGACACCAGGTTGCTGGCTCCATCAAGTGATTGTACCATCAGGCCCGAAGCATATAACTTACCAGCATGCTGGTACAATATTTATTTTTTTACAAATGAGGTCGAGGAAAGATCGAAATGATTAGCGCCGAAATTTTATAATTTTTCTACCATTTTGCTGAAACATTGTTTTGTTTTTTAATTCACAACTGCAATATCGTGAACTTAATCTTCCCCAAACACGGCTTTGACTCATATTGTGCAAGAAATTTCCGCCAAAATGCTTTTTACTTAGAAAATTGAGCTAATTTCACCACTCACGACACCAGCAGTTGGTACAATCAAACCACAAGAACATACACGGTCAAGTGACTTGATGAGCCATTTAACAAATTAATTTAACAGCCTAATCACTTTTACAGTATGTATGTATAAAAACGTAAGGAACGTACAATACAAATAGATGTGTATATATGTATATCAGTCTTTCTTAGTTTAAAAATTCGCTTCTTACATAAATGAAAAAATGAGATCAAATTAAGCATATTCAGCTTTTTCATGCCAAGTATAAGTAAATTCTCCAAAGGGCTAAGAAAAGGGCTAGGGGCAATTTGAAATTTATATGGCCAAAAAAGTATGTGGTAGCTAAATCTAGCCACCTAAATCTAGTTGACTAATCCGGCAACACTGGTAGTAATATGTATTTATGTAGGTGTCGCTTGTCGCTCGTCTACTCTATTCACTACTCAGTCGTCTCTCTTCGCTCAATTGTTATTATAATGTCAACGCGTTAAGTTCGTATTCCGCTCATATTTCATCGATAGTTTTCCGCGCTTACATTTCATTCATAAAACTACAAATACGAAGTTTAGTGTAAACCTATATTAATGAGTTATCGAAATAGTTGGCAAAGTTTTTTTTAAGTAAGTAAGTGAACAAGCGGCTTATAGTGAAAAAAGTTAATCCCTAAAAATTTTAATTCATAATTGTTTATAAAATAAATCAAAACGTGACTTGTATAGTTAAATACACACAGATATAAACATAAAAATAAGGAAAAATCGTTTGGTATAACCATTAAAAGTCAATTAAAACTTTGTAAATTTTTATTTTTACAATATTAAAGAGTTGCTGTATCAAATCAACGGTCTTCTAAAGATTTACCACATTACAAACATTTAAAACATATGTATGTATGTATGTGTACATATGTACATACGATTACAAGTTTGTTTGGACATAATAGGGGCATTCTTGCAGTCTTACAAAGCCCTTGCACGGTGCACGGTTTGCACGGTTTGCAGATCAGTCCCATTGGAATCCCGGTTTTCATCGTGCAATCCGTGCGCCGTGCAAGGGCTTTGCAAGACTCCGAGAATACCTCTAATGTGTTTTTGTACAAAATTTAAATATTAGTCATCTGTTACTTATGAATGTGAATCATGATCATGTTTCTACGGTTGTATACTTACAAAAGCAGCATTTCTGAGCACTGCAATGTTATTGGTAGAGTTGTTAAAACCTGGTGGCATTGCATTACTTAGAACTGAACAAATGAATGATGAACGTTAAAAGAAAATCGAGCTTACTGACTCACTGGCGCATACGCACATATGTATGTAGGTATGTATGTATGTACATTAAGCTGGTGCGATTTTTGAGCTAGAGATATTGATAGGGTAGATTAACGGTTCGCAAGCCTTGCCACAATTGTTTGAAAACTGCAATAGGGAAAAAATAACCTTTTTTGTAGTATTTCTCTGGCGTTAAATGTCAAAATGTCCGGAAAAGAATAAGATCGAGCGCTCCAGGTCACTAATAAAATAAATTTTAAAATATTAAATATACTGGCTTTTTTCTATATATCTGCACACATAAAATCAAAAAAGGCGGTTTGCATGGGTATTTATAGCCTAAAAATGTTGAAGCTGCAGATTGATTAATTAATTAATTTATAGTATCTATTAGAGGCCTCATTTTCATCGGAAATTTATCAAAATCAGCTGACAATCTAAAATTGGCGCTTTTTCTGGATACTAGAAGTAAAGTTAATAAATGTGTACACCATCAACTTCATTTAAAAATTTATAAACTTTTAACAATAACTTACATTTCACATCCATTTTATTGCGAAGAAAAATAAATATAAAACTGAGGCAGAGACTGTCAAATCGAATTAAGAATGTGCTCGTCTGATTGGGGTAATTCACGGTAGTAAATGGGAGAGCGAACAAAGTAATACATGGTGCCGTGGAAAAACCGCATTAATTGTTTGCGGGTGTCCGCTAAACACATAGGATTCTTTCAGATAATTTTGACTTTCAACACAAGAAGAATAGTAAACAAGTAATTTTTAAGCAAAAAAGAAAACCGACTTCAATTCTCATATAAATATATGTATATATATTTCATGATCCAATGATCGGATCTAAACCAGATTAGTATGGGACCACCTCTGAAACACTACCTTTCCGATGCAAAAAGAATTTACGAACTATCGGTTGACGTGGTCAAAAGTTATGCGGTAACATACATCAAAAAAAAAATATATATATATATAAAACAAACCACTGCGGTATATGGGAGTGCTCAAACAGATGCGGTATACCGTTGCGATGTGATGCGTTGAAAAATTGTATCACAGCAAGCACAATTGACCGCACGATATGAATAGATTTTCCCTTTAATGGTTGCAGATTTTTGATTTTTTGTCACCTAAGAAAGCCTGCTAAACAACCATGATATGTAACAATCTCATTTTGCAAACCTGCATCGTAACAACAACAATTTCTGGCAGGGGTTGCGGTTAGTGCTGTAAAAACATCGATATGTGAGATTATAGACTTTTCGTTTTTTTTCCTGTAAAACACCGACAGTATCAATACCATCGGGTTTTCTTGAGAATTATGACTTTTTGTTTAAAATTGAAATCCTGATAATTTAACAAACATTATAATTTTTTAAATAATTTTATTTATTACTTTAAAGTTATCTACTAATTACTTTAAAATTAAAATGTATTATTAAGGCAAAAACATAATTCATTTGACTTATTCTTAAGGTCACATTGAAAAATGGAATTTATGAATTAATTAAATGAAAAATAAAAAGTAATATAAAAATATTCATAAGCCAACACCACAATTCATTTGTATTATAATTAATGTCTTATTAACCCTTAACTACAGAGGTCCGATTATAAAAACGTTATAACAGACCACCGATTGTTGTTGATGTTGTTGTAGCGGCTACAACAACCCCGCCCAGATCGGTTAGTATCTCAGTCGTTGTCGTCAAGCTCAACTAACGGAAGACCCAAGAAGCATGCAGCAGAGGAGATTTATTTCAAAAAGTTCTTTAAAAAACTATTTTTATTCATAAAAAACTCCATTTTTTGAGGTATTTTCAAATCGCTCCAGCTCACGTAAATCTTAATATTTTTCCGAAATATTTTGGTGGACGTCTTAAAATATAATAGATTTTATAATTCCAATGGAAACAGAGTCCCGATTTTTTATTTTTTTTTTTGTATGGGGAGTAATGCTGTCTAATATGCATGGATGCTTTCCATTTCAATTCAAGCGGTCCACTCGTATTTTTTCTTTTTGCCGAAAAAAATTTTTTCGGAAATCTATCGGCAATTTCGTTTTCTTGGGTGAAAATCGATTGTTTCGGTTTTTGAGGAAACCTTTTTTCCAATTGTCTATAACTTTCCCAAAAATTGACCGACTTTGGTTTGGACTACAAAATGAAGTTTAAACAAAAATGAAGTTTAAGCAAAAAAGTTTTAAAATTCAATTTCTCAAAAATGGTATTTTTAATTTTTCTCAAACTTTTTTATTATTAATATATATAGTCATTTTAAACTTAATTTAGACTGAATGGCTAGTAACTAAAATTCGTTGTTTTCGAGTTATGATTTTTTTAAGAAAGAAACTGTTTTCTCGGTAAAACGTGGAATGAGCAATTCATATCGATCGGTAATATTATAAGTGCATCAAAAGCAATACATAATTGTATTTTATATGTTTAATTTGCCAATAATAGGAAACCTCAACACACACATCAAAACTTTTTTCCGTAAAAATGGTCGAATATCATTTTCAGTCCATATATAATGTGATCTTGACCTACGAATGTAGAAATCTTATTTAGCAACCTTCCACTCACGCTTACAAGTTTTTGCCGTGTACACTTTGCTATTTTTATACATAACAAGTTCATTTTTCCAAACATGTGTTTCTCTGACACCTTTATATGCTGGTGTTTTTTTTCCAGCTTGTTTCCTTTTTTTACGAAAACCCTCAAGTTCATTTACCTCTAAAAGTTTATCTTATTTTTGGGGTTTTCCTTTGAACTATGTCAACAAATGCCTTCGCAGATTGGATATACTATGTTTCACCCACACTCAAACTATGTGGCGTCGCAAAAGTGTTAACTAGTCCCGCAATGCCATCGCAGGCCCTTTTTCCATGTCCTGTCGCAGAGAACAACCATTTCCTCTGGAGCTTATGTGTTTTGAGCTCATCTAATTGAAATCTATTTTTGAAGTGACTTGGAGCTCCATCTTATATGGTTGACATACTTTGTGTTACAACCTTGGAAATCGTTGGTTTATATCACTAACAATTTTATTAGTTGCCAACAGGGCATGCGCGGAGTCATGCGATAAATCGCGTTTTGCCCGAAATAACATACTGCAGTGAAAATTTATATTTGTTTTGATTTCCAATGATAGGATTGTACTTCATTCTGTACAATTACAGACCAATTTTCCGCGAAGTCCATGTGTAAGATCAAATGGGATGAATTTTGTTTTGATATATTTTTTTCTATTGCAGTCGTTTTTTTATGCGATCGTTCCCCTCCCAAAACGCATAAGTTATCTCTTCTTGAATTTCGCCTTTGAAGAATTCTGAGATTTTTCTAACTATTCTATCTACTCCAGGACATTTCACACATTCTTTGAATACGCACGCATCATTGTCGACCGAAAAAACTCCAGCGAATAGGACAATTTTACGCACATTCATCACCACAACATATCTGTTGAGACAATTCTTTAATCCCACTAAAGACGAAATTAGCGCAATAAATACACAGACAAGCTTGTTTCGCTGGGGAAGAGGCAACCCATTTTGGTCGGAGATCGTAAAATTTTGAATGTCCAATTTTCAAATCCGTGTGGTCTTACTTGAACATTTGATACGTTTCGTGGATACTGCGCGTCATGTAACGTTTTATTTTGAGCAACTTAACATCATTCTCGTAGACGTTAATCGAATAATTTTTATTTGGATTTTAAGTCGAGCAATTGAGATCATCATTCAAATAATATTCCGATCTTCCGAACATTCTCATCTATCGGATATGCTGAATATGGATCGGGGAATACTATAATATTATCAGTTACATGAGGCCATTTTGAAAAAATAAAATTTTTTGGCATTTGACAAATAGCCGTTGCTTATAATAGCCTAATTTTCTCTGTATACGAAGTACAATTTTCTAGACTGGAACCAAAATTTTCAAACCAGTTCACGCAAAGTTGACAATTCGAAATCTCTGATATGGGAAATTTAATTATTCATTTCCTGCGATGTAATACAACTTTTTCATCTTACACAAAAGCCGCTAATCCTGTATTTCTGCTATTTATTTGCGTTTTCTTGACATGATGGAGGGCTGATCTGATATCAACTTCACTTACATTTTTAAGAGGTGAGACCGTTGAAGTATGAATTTGAAGTTCTGCATTCAATCTTTCAATATCTTCAGGGTTCGTTTTGGGAACAAACGATTCGTCTAGCAAGTTGCTGCTTTAAAGTGACAAGTCACTATTAACTGCTGGTACAACTGATGAGACCTCGAATGTTGAAGGCGAAGGTTTATTTTTACGGAAAAAAGTTTTGATGTGTGTGTTCAAGTTTCCTATTAA